GCTGGGGATCAATAGTATAGTACTGATTGGAAACAAGCTAGTTTTTCATTTCAAACTTTGAATGAAACTGTTTTAATTTGTTGTTAAAATCTTCCCAGTCTCCAGACGTTACATTCAGATGATATTCAACTTTTTTTTTTACTTTTTCACAACTTCACAAACCAAGTTGCGATGGTCATGATGATCTGAACATAACATATTGCCAATTGCCTGTTAGCGATTTGCAAGTAGCTATTGTCTTTTTGCTGAGACAGCCTGATGGAAATGTTGGTGGTCGTTATACAAAGGTTAAAGTGTGAATAGGTCTACAATAGGGTGGTTGCTGGTCGCGTTGGACAGGTGGTCGCTACATCCAGTGTCTTTAACGTGTAAATTGCAAAGGGGCTGTACTAAGGTGGTCGCTATGAGCAGGTGGCCGCTCTGCACAGGTTTGACTGTATAAACATAATCCTAAACAGATCATGCAGTGTCAACCATTATTGCACTTATTTGGTGATGAGAAGCGGTTTGATGGAATAAGTCTGAAAATAGCTGATTTTTATAGATACATGTACTAGAGAACATGTTTATTGCACTTACTTTCCACATATTCTACATGGAAATTCTTCCCCACCTGGAGGTATTGGTAGAGGCGGACGTGGTGGTGCCCGATGAGGTGCCCGATGTGGTGCTCGATGTGGTGGCTTTGTAGGTGGTGGTGGTGGTGGTGGTAGAGACAGTGGTGGTGGCGACAGCGATAGAGGAAGTGAAGTTTTTTCATCGATGTCATCATACTCATCTACTGACTCAGAACTAGATGATAGTCTTCTTGGCGGCTGTGGTGAGGGTCTTCCATGAGAAACTTCAAATGACTGGCTATTAGTAAAGGACTTTGGAACACCTCGTCCATGAACACGAATATGTCCATTCAAGGCTTGTCGAGATGCAAATTTCTAGATAAAATGGACAAAAAAATTATACCGTATGACATTAATGTCCATTATACTAAACAGCAACTTGTTTTTAGAGTAAAAAAAATCTCAGTAGAAAAACATTTTAATGAGATCAACTCACAGCATGGCATCCTGGGAAATCACAGTGAAATATGTGATTATCGTGGTTTGTATCAGCAACATCGGAGAATTCATTGGAGTGTAAATTGTCATGATATGCTGGCAAGATTTCATCTGACATTTCAGAGTCCTTTGTAAAAGTTTCAGGCTCAGAGTCAGTTGCATCATCCTAAACAAAAATAAGAAATTCATTTATTGATATTGTTAATTCATCTGTCTACACTTGATTGATTGAAGTAAAATAAAAAGTGCCCTGATGCTCAGTGGCTCAGAAAGTTTTTTAGTGGTTCAATGACTGACAACTGAACAACAGGTGTTAGAGTTAGGGACTATGAGCCAATTATCATCCACCTTGCAAACCCTGCAGACGAGCCAGATTGTATTAATAGAATCAATAATCAGACAGATTAGTCAGAACTACATCACTGTGGGTGATCAATTTTGATGTACGAGACACACTTCAATCTAATAATCAGACTACGTGATATTGTAAAATTTTAACCACTGAATTCTCGACCTTGACTTGTGCTTACCTCATAAAGTTCAAGTTCTTGTGCTTTTGTCAACCGCGTCCGGACATGATAGAATTTGTCATCAAATTTATCTTCACCATATGCAGTTCTTGGGAAAAGCTTTTTCCATTTATAATAATACTCGACACAGTCTTGAACTGTTTTTGTTTTGACCTATAGCGGCAATATACAATACATGATATGGTGGTTATTTAATAGACTGTACCAACAAAATTGTATCCAATGCACATTATATTAAAATCAATGAGTATTTGTCGCATCGTGTGGAAATGCTAACAATTTGTTTTGTTGAACTGTGATGCTTTAGAATCAAATCAAGGCCTTTCACTCTCGCCTGATTCAGAGTTCTAAATCAGAGTGACGCCTAAATTAGGATACTTACGATAAGTCATATTTGAATCAGTCAGAATACAATAAATGTAATTTGTAATACAATAAATGCAATTTGTAATACAATAAATGAAAATCTTCATTGACAGGCATTCTATGAACATTGACTGAGGTCAAAACATGCAACACATTCACGCCACAAGAGGGCAGTGTTTGAATACTTACTTCACTCTGTATAAGATGAAAATCCTTGCCATGTTCCCGGTAACCATGTTTGAATGCTATTCTCTCTTTCTTTGTCCAAGGAATTGACCCTAAAAGAAGAAACAAAAATAATTCATTACTTAGCATGTGCTTCTGAAGAGTGAAGACGTCTCTGTGTCTGCTCTGAATTGCCCTGCCGCGTTGAGTTTTCTGATACTTGCTAGGTTTATTAATATACACTATATCTCAAAAGTTCTTGAGAATATCTTCACATACAAAGTTTCTTCAGTTTTGTCACGTCAACAACAAAATTATTAGAGCTTCTCCTGTGGCAGCCATATTGGACTCAACTGCATTTGTGAGATCCATAGAAAATCTCTCACTGACCCCTGTGAGCATTCCCACTTTGTGAGATCCATAGAAAATCTCTCACTGACCCCTGTGAGCATTCCCACTTTGTGAGATCCATAGAAAACCTCTCACTGACCCCTGTGAGCATTCCCACTTTGTGAGATCCATAGAAAATCTCTCACTGACCCCTGTGAGCATTCCCACTTTGTGAGATCCATAGAAAACCTCTCACTGACCCCTGTGAGCATTCCCACTTTGTGAGATCCATAGAAAATCTCTCAGACCCCTGTGAGCATTCCTACTTTCTGAGATCCATAGAAAATCTCTCAGACCCCTGTGAGCATTCCCACTTTGTGAGATCCATAGAAAATCTCTCACTGACCCCTGTGAGCATTCCCACTTTG